AGTGAAATGGCTGATCGGGAAGCATGAAGACTGGCTCGTCTTCTTTGATAATGCAGATAATCCCAAGCTTGACTTGAACAAGTTTCTACCCCAGTGCAATCATGGGAATATTATTATCACTACCCGAAATCCGGGACTTCGAGTTTATGGGGCTGATTCACAAGTATCTGATATGGAGGAGGTGGATGCTGTGACACTACTGCTCAAAAGTGCTGCTCAAGAGCCTTTACCTACCAACAAAAAAAGTGCAGCTGAAATTGTGAAGGTGAGATTCCTTCCCTTGTAGGTGTGAATGAAACCAGCTAATAATACTTGTGTCTCTTAGGCCTTATGGTATCTTCCACTAGCAATTGTCCAGGCTGGAGCGTTTATTGCAACATCTGGAGCTCTTGATCATTATCTAGATTTGTATTGCAGGAACCGTGAGAAGCTGATGAGAGAAAGACCTACACAAACTCACAGTAATTATGCCTGGACCATATACACCACCTGGCAAATGAGCTTTGATCGGCTGAGTCCCTCAGCGGCAACATTCTTGCAGTTGTGCTCATTTCTCCATCGAGAAGGAATCTCAGAGGATATCTTCAGCAGAGCAGCAGACTATGATTTCCCATCCATTGGCCCTTCCAAGGAGGAACTTCAGCGGCCTCTGGAATTCCTGTCACAATTTCAAGGCCCAAACGGCGAATGGGAAACATTTGCTTTTTGGGAAATCACCAATGAGATCATGTCATACTCGCTGGCTATGTTTACACCGGAAAAGAAGACATTTTCAATTCACCCTCTGGTGCACCAGTGGAGCCGGGACATACTTGGTAATCCTGAATCAGTATACTGCACTATGCACAGTATATTAGGGATGTCAATCCTGGGAATCCCGTATATACACTCCCAACTTGCAAGTTTAAAGTTGCTTCCCCATCTTGATGCTGTAATGCAGTTCAAAGAGCTTGCGGGCCTGGATTTCAACTCAGCTTATGGACTTCTATATTCATGGGCAGAAAGGCATCAAGACGCCAAAGTACTCGAGATTTCTGCCCTTGAGAAACAGAGGACACTTAGAAGTGATGATGATTTGGATACCCTGTACCTGATGCATAACCTAGCAGTAACACATCGGAGGTTAGGTCAGTTGAAGGAGGCAGAGGAACTTGAGGTTGTGGTATTAGAGAAGCGAAGGATGATTCTGGGTGAAGATCATCTAGAGACCTTGGATGCCATGTACAATCTGGCTGCCATATACAAGGATCTAGGTCAGCTCCAGAAGACAGAGGAACTTGGAATTGTGGTGCTGGAGAAGCGAAGAGCAATTCTGGGTGAAGATCATCTGAACACCTTGGATGCCATGTACAATCTGGCCATCACATGCAGAGCACTTGGACAGTTTCAAAAGGCAGAGGAACTTGGAGTTGTAGTGCTGGAGAAGCAAAGAGCTAGTCTAGGTGAAGATCATCCAAAAACCTTGGATGCCATGTACAATCTGGCTATTACATACAAGCATCTAGGTCAGTTGCAGAAGGCAGAAGAACTTGGAGTTGTGGTGGTGGAGAAGCGAAGAGCCATTCTGGGTGCAGACTATCCAGATACCTTGGATGCCATGTACAGTCTGGCTATCACGTACAAGGATCTAGGTCAGCTCCAGAAGACAGAGGAACTTGGAATTGCGGTGCTGGAGAAGCGAAGAGCTAGTCTGGGTGAAGATCATCCAAAAACCTTGGATGCCATGTACAACCTGGCAATCTCATACAAGGATCTAGCTCAGCCCAAGGAGGCAGAGGTACTTGAAGTTGTGGTGGTGCAGAAGCGAAGAGCCATTCTGGGTGCAGATCATCCAAACACCTTGGATGCCATGTACAGTCTGGCTCTCACATACAAGGATCTAGGTCAGCCCCAGAAGGCAGAGGAACTTGAAGTTGTGGTGGTGGAGAAGCGAAGAGCCAATCTGGGTGTAGATCATCCAAACACCTTGGATGCCATGTACAGTCTGGCTCTCACATACAAGGATCTAGGTCAGCCCCAGAAGGCAGAGGAACTTGAAGTTGTGGTGGTGGAGAAGCGAAGAGCCATTCTGGGTGAAAATCATCCAAACACCTTGGATGCCATGTACAGTCTGGCTATCACATACAAAGATCTAGGTCAGCCCCAGAAGGCAGAAGAACTTGGAGTTGTGGTGCTGGAGAAGCAAAGAGCTAGTCTGGGTGGAGATCATCCAAAAACCTTGGATGCCAAGTACAATCTGGCAATCACATACAAGGATCTAGCTCAGCCCCAGAAGGCAGAGGAACTTGAAGTTGTCGTGGTGGAGAAGCAAAGAGCCATTCTGGGTGCAGACCATCTGGACACACTCTCAGCTATGAATAATCTGGCTGTGACATACTATCACCTGCATCGTTTCGAGGATGCAGCGAAGCTCCAAATTGAAGTTATGAAGAAGCAGAGAGTTATTCTCGGTAATGACCATCCCGACACCCTCCTGAGCATCCATAATCTTGCATCGACATACCGTGTGCTGGGGAAGGTTGCTGAAGCTGAGGAGCTTGAAGGGTTACTTCCGGATGATGAAGAGGGCACTTCGGCTTCCAATGCAGTTGAATACTTGTAATCATGCTTGTCTTTTCATAGCCACCTACCTCCACTTTATTCTATTTTGGTGCCCAAAGAGTTTCAGTGACAAACTTCAACCACAAACTACAGCCATTTGCGGAACTTGGGAGGATGTGGGTTTTTTTTTTCATTTTCTTTTCATGCTTTTCAACGAGAACAGTGATTGTGAACTTGATTCCTGTCTGTTTGCCTTAAAAATATGCTCATTCTGTCCGCAAAGAAAAGCGGAGTGCACCACGATCTTCATTTCTCCTGATACAATCGAAATTGCCTTATTGGGGAAATATTGGTCTTTTTGTACAGAATGATGAGTGTGATGGGTATATGCATCCAACTGACTTGAAAATTTGAGAGGATGGTCTTGGTTGTATTACAGAGGGTGAGAAATACTGGTATTTCTATATCATCTGTATTTCCTATATATAAGGTATTCGAATATCCATCACTGTGAGAATGCGGAATTCTGGTGACACCGGGGGCAAAGACCCCGGCACATGGTTTTCATGTGCCTTAAATGCACATCTGTTGCACATGCGCCACAGAGGGGCGCACAAAGGAAAATATTTGGTCCCCTCTGCGGCGCATGTGCAACAGATGTGCATTTAAGGCACATGAAAATCATGTGCCTGGGTCTTTGCCCCTGGTGTGAAATAAAGCACACATTGGAAATACTGACATTTTTAGCCCTCAGTAATACTCATAAGGATGTTGTATCAAATTTATAGGCCAATCCGACCACTACACAGAGGATGCGACAAGTTCTATACAAAAAAAACTGATACTTGCTTAATAAGGCAATTATGATCGCATCGGGAGAATTGAAGATCGTGGTGCCCTCTGCATTTTTATTGCAGACAGAATGAGCATACTTATAAGGCAAACAGACAACAATTGAGCTCAAAATAATTGTTCTTGTTGAAAAGTATGAAAGAAAGAAAAAAAGACCCGCAGCCTGAGTTCCGCAAATAGCTGTAAGGATGAGAACTAAAATCCCCTTGCTGTTACATCACCAAAAGTGTTGATCCCATCAAAGGGCCTCATGACGTTGCCAAGCCTTTGCCAGGCTTCAACATGTCTTGCAAGACTCTCGTGGGCTACTCAACCCTTGTACAGCCTGGCCAAGGCTCTACCAGCCTTGCAATGTGTCTCTTAAGCGTCTTTTGAGCCCTCCGTAGGCATTTCCAACACTTTCAAGCCTCTTCCGCGGTTCTACCACTGTGATATAGACTGCGGTTCCGTGAGTTGTCTGACCGGGTGTGGTATAGTCAGGCAGAAGCACAAAGTTAATTCGTCCTCTAGGGGTAAATTTCTCTGTCGTGGAGATGTGTCTGCTACTGTGTTACACGGGGTGTTTTATATATTTTATATGGTGGTGGTGGTACAGTTCCTTCCGTATGGAATGAACAGTTTCGCTAGGTTCCTCCTTGGGGGCTAGCCTTCCAGGAAAGCTATGGTCAGAGGGTTTTCCACACTTGCGTGAAGCGTGAGGCTCCGCAAGATGAATGCCATTCCACGCCGAGATGCCTGGGCTATACGGTCCCTTTTCCTTCTCTCCTTGCCTCGTATAGGTCGGGCAACCAGTGTCTTCAGAACTGTTGAACACAACGTGTACAGGTTATAGTGTGGTCCTTCGTAACCCAGTTTTTTTCTCTACACTGTGGTGGTACGCCCGGGGCTTTTAATTTCATGGACGTGTGTGGGTGAAATGGCGAGAATGAATCATGGAGTGGTTATAATTGAATCAGATAAGCCTTCTATGACAATAGGGGTGGTACTCTGCGCACGGATCTGGGTTCGAGGCCCAAGCCAACGGTCACACACACACAGCTAAGTTGGGCTGCTGGCTGTTTAGAAGTCTGCCGCATGTCCTACAACCACACACACTGTCAACACCAATATTTCTATAATTCCCTCTGGCCCATTCTCTTGAACCAGAAGTACTATGGACAAGCCTCCTTGTTTGAAGCTTTGGCCCAAATTGACCTTGGTTGGTCCCACAGAGGGCGGTGCAACCTGAGCGAGTATGTGTTTGACTAGATTCTCACCCGATATGCTTGAGGGGGAGTATCTCTATGCTGTTCCGTGTGCTGAAGGAGATACCTAACTCACAGATTGTTACGTCTCTGCCTGTGGCGCTCAATTTCCGTACTCCATAGCTCGTGCCTCCTTCCATAGCTTCAATATTCACGTCTTTGTCCGTGGTGCCGATTGCCGTACTCCGTATTCGGTGCTTCCTCATCCGTGGCTTCCTGGTACACGGTCTGATAGCTGTGTCCTTTTTGCAAGAAATGAACGCTTCTGCTGCGAGTTGAATCGAACCAAGGTCTTCCGTATCCGTTGTGTTGATTGTTGGTTTCCGTGAGGACTATAGCGATTTGGGGGTATTTGTAGTAGTAGACCTGGTGGCGCAACTGGTAACGTGCACATTTACTGTACGTTGACGACACATAATCTTTAAATGTGAGACCCTCGTTCAATTCAAGGTCAGGCTGTGTGGTTGTTGGCTTCTTTTTTCCATGCGTGTTCCATAGTGCGTATTTGCCTTTTTCAGCTACGGAGGGAGCATATCACAAAGTGATAGCTCACTCCGGGATTGGACTCCTTGCGTCTGAATGCACCAATAAGTTAACTTGCCGAGATTGTTGTTTTCACTGCTCCTCTTTTTGCCCAAAGCACCCGCTCACTGCATTTGTGTGGTGTTTTATTTAATACTGCGGGGACAAAATCCGCTGACAATTGCTCAAGGTAAGTCAGCCCAATCTTCAACTGTCTGGCTTATTCGGTGCTCAATCAGAGCAAAGGGATCAGATGTGGTGTGTCATGATCACGCTCGGATCATAACACGGCACGCCCAAACCGACGCATCGGGGTTTCAATTTGGCACAATGGCCTGGCAAAGACAGAAACTCCCGATATAGCATTACACTGATTGGGGTACAGGAGTTCCAGGGGTTGTAAAAACCTGACACAGCGGATAATTCGATCGTACAGAAAGGAGAACACATGATTGTTCTCCTCTACGCCAACCCTAAATGCTAATTAGTTACCAGGCACTGAGTGATCGCCAAGGGCTTTCTTTAGTATAAAAGTAGCAGTAGAATCTAATGTACAGTAGATTCTACCTCGTCTAATCTCAGGCTTTACTTTGGTCTGAAACTGGGCTTGACTCTCGCTTTAAACCCCACTCGCTATTCATAACTCTCGGGGTTTAACTCTATCCATACCCCGTTCTCTGGAGGACGTCTTCCTCATATACCGGGGTCTTGCCATATCAGCACGTCGTACATCGAACACGACACCTGATCACCTACGCCGGGGTTTGAAGTCCTAGTCAAGCTCTCTGCTGAAAGCCAACATCAGCCTGACCTAGGGTCATTGCTGACATGGTGCACGATGTACCACAAATGTTCTGTATATATATGTGAATGTATGTGACCTCACAGGCGGAATGGGCTGAGAAAGGTCTCAAGACTTCGGGTGGAAATGGCCGAGGTCGTGGATAATGTATTCATATTTATTGAAGAGGGTCACGTACAACACATTCATCCATCTATATGTACACTTTTTTTTTTTTTTTTTGGTAGATTGTGTAGATTCAAGATTGCGGGGATTGCACTATCACGACAAGAGGAGTCCGGTACGGTAATGCCGAACACGCATTGCCTCATTGAGATAGACAGCGAGTTACGGGGTCTTGGTCTGAAAGCGGAAGCGGCCATCAGTCCTGGTGTCGGGGAGAAAGCAGGGGGTAAAAGGAAGATTGGGAGCCGCCTGAGTGCTGGCTTGCACACGGCCAAGGAGGCATACGCGCCAATAGAGCCTGAACGCGCAAAGGATACGTCCGACGCAATGAACAAAAACGTGAGCACAAATTTGCCGACGCGATGGATCATTTGTGGTCCCCTTCGGGAATGATGTTGCGCACGAGTCAAATCCCCCATATGTTTTCTTCCTGGATACATACATGCCTAAATTTTTGGGGCTGGCCTCCATTACAGTGTAACTCGCAGGTTATCCAATTTCTGCGTGAGTTTCTTGGATGAAAGAAAAGATCTGGCGGATTCTAAGAAAAGTTGGGCCGGGACCCCGATCACTAGGACGCATTGTAACCCATACACATCGTGTTTGATTTTACAGTTCCGCACTCCTCTTGTATCACGACATGTATTTTGTGTGGAACGTTCTCAGGTTTCCTGTGAGATATATGAACAGATTGCAACAACGGAGAAGACATTAGAAGAACACACACAGGGCAATTATCAGTTACGGTGCAATATCTGGCCCCTTCCCAACGTACTCCCCGGCGAAGGAAAATTCGATTGAGGGGAATGCCGTGCGATAGACGTCGTTAGAGACGTACCGGGGCCCGTCAATAGTTACCTTCTGCAGGTGGCACCCAGATTTCGACATAAAAGATTTCAGGGAATTAACGGGGTCCGTGAGGAATCGTTCCAGGATATCGAGCTCGCGAAGAGCGGGAACGATGAAGGTCTCCGCATACCCCTTCACGGCGCCGCCGCCGCCGAAGTCAGCAAGAACCAGTGATTCCAAATGTGGAAGTGTCGTGTCGTCCAATGTGCTGTCATCGTCATCGCCTTCAAAGATAAGCAATCTGCAGTGGATCAGGTTGAGTGTCTGCTGTAGGATTGGAGTGCATTCGGAGGGGTAAACATTGTGCAACTCCAGGGAAGTAAGCTGCACCCATGGAAGAGTGACCGAGTTGGCGGCGCCATCGTTCATGACGACTGAGCGCAGGAGAGGCATCTTTCCGCAGAGGGTGAGATTGGAGGGGGTAAAATGGTCGTCAACGGCCAGATATAGATCGAGCTGGCGGAGTAGAGGCATCGAAGTTTCAGTGATAGGAAGGCAGGAGGATGGAAGGATGATGTTTAGGGCCTCCCAGCGCGCGCAGTGAGCTGATGAGAACTTGTAATCCAAATGATCATCAATTGTGATTTGAACGGACATTGGGCAGCAACCAGATCTGCTGAGCCATATCTCGAGTTTGTGAACCTCGGCAGTAGGGTTGTTGTGTCCGAAATATAGAGATATTGAACTCCAGAGTGTTGGTGTAGATAGCACAATGTCTCGCCATTTCCGACATATATGTGTCAGATTAATGGGTGAAAAAGGCCCCTTGAGAGGAGAGCATTTTGGATAAATCGGTAGGAAATGCAGGAATATTTCCGCCATGGTTTCATTGGGCAGTGTCAAGACGGGATATTTGAATGAATCAAGTTCTTTTTGGACCATTGCCCTCTCGACGCGCAATGAGGAGAGCGCGCGCTCAAGATCCAGGATTTGGGCATCCAGCTCTGCAGCGCGATCGCGATCGGCCTGGAGGTGATAGTGCATGAATAGTTACGGCTGTAGGCATTGTGAGTGCTTTTTATAACCCGATTTAGCGGATTCTGTACCGTTATACACTCTGAGGGGTGCGTGACTGCTTCACCGCGCACGCAAAAGGCAAAGATTGATATCACAGTGTCCAGCCAAACAAGTCGGTGCTGCTGCCAAGCAACCCTCAGCGAAAATTCGACAAAAGTAGTATATTTTTTCTCGCTCTAGGAACAGATTGTGAAGTGCCGTACTAGTGGTAGATATTCTGTTCGAGCTACATATCGGAATCCGCCGTTCTTTGTCCATAAACATCGTTCCGAGACCCGAGGTCCTGCGGCGTCGCGTTCAGTGAGCTCCACCTGTCTGCACGCACGCGGTACTCGGATACGTGCATCGCCCCATCGTACGCGCAAGCGCCCAAATTCACACTGAGCGGTACACCGTGATATGTGGGCCCATCCTCGTCCTCTCCCATACTGCACACATGCGTGGGCCTCAAGATCACCCCGACTACGCGTGCACCCACCGCACCGACACATTCTTCGCCCGGCCTTACGCCGCGCCCCCGACGGCGAAACTTCTCTGCTCCAAAAAAGGGGGAAAGAATAGAAAAAAAAGGTGGGGGAGGAAAACAAGCACATCGTCTGGCGCCTACTCCGGCACAATCCACACTCTTCTGCGGGAAGGACACGAGCGTTGACCACAGCCCGTGTGGTATGCTATCTGCACGCTCCTCATCTCTCGAGTAGGCTGCTCATCCTCATCTTCGAAATGCGCGGCCTGCTAGATCGGTATGGGGCAAAAATAAAAGCGCGCCGCGCCCGCCTCCCATTGCGTGTCCACGCGCACACACACCGCTCCAGCGCCAAGTCACGTACATGCAAAAGGCCTGCGTAGACACGCCGCGTGCCGCGTATCTGCTCGCGCAGGACAAAATACAGAGTCCCCGTCGAGCGATACCGCACGCACAGTATTACCGGCACCGCGGACGCACCGCGCGCCCGGACCCCGCCCCAGCAGCTCCGACAGCCCGGCACCGATGGAGCACACGGAGGCGGACGATGGGACAGACCCACCCATCTGAATGGGACGGCGCGCGCACCATCTACATCGCGCCGACCCTCCGCGCCTGCGCCCCATTGCCTCTCTGCTCCGCGACAAAGAAGAGAAAAAAGAAATAGGTATGGGAAAATAAGGGGAGGAGACGTACGCTTCGTCTTGGATGCGTGGTACTCTCATTCGGGGGCGGCTGAGGAAGAAGAAAGAGTCAATGAGGAGGAATGAGACGAGAGTGAAAAAAAAAGAGGCGCCGCAGAGAGTACATGCTCCACCCAGCGCATGTGCTTTATTCACATCGTTTGCATGCTCAGAGAGCGTCGACTGCGGACGTCGGAGCCCCTCCTCACCCCGGCAAGCGTGTCCCGCATCTGCACACTCCACCCCACTCCGCCCCCCGCGCAGTCAGTCTGCAGTCCAGCCCGAGCGCCAAATCGGGAACCCCTCCCAGATAAGGAAGACGCGAGTTCTGAGACGCGAGAGACATCCGAGAAAGAGGAAACGAATCGGAAGTAGGAGGACTCACCGAGAGGACAACGGATCGAGAACCGAGCCGTACTCGGCGCGCACGAGGTCTTTTGATCAGGCGGGCGACTGGATGAGGTAGAAAGAGATGAGGTCAGCGCGGGGTTTTGAGGGAAGTAAAAGAGATAGGAGTGAAAAGGAAAGGAAGGAAGAGCGAGAGGAGATAGCGAAGGGTAGTACTGCGAGGAGCACTCAGCCTTGCGCACACCTCGCACATCGGCCGTCGCACAGGAATGGCAGGCGCATGTGGATTCGATGCACGGAACCACAAAGGAGCAGAGTCCGGCGAGCTTTGCTCCTGCTAGCGCCGGGAACTCGATCACCACCTCGGTGGCGCATACGGGAGGGACTGCACATCGTCCGCTCTGCGCTCGCGGCGTGATCGCTCGCGTATATCCCGCGCACATCCGTTCCTCCCAAAAATCAAGCAGGAAGCGTGTGGGCTCCAATCTGCGCGATGACATCGACGACGACGTTCTTCGATCGGAGGGCGCGCCGCAGGCATACCCCCCGAGACCGCCCAAGCCCACGCGGGTGTCGTCGCAGCGCGTGTAGAAGCAGCCTGGAGCGA